TCAAACGCAGTGTTTTCGAGAGAGAGATGGAGTCGCCAGATATTGCCTTGTGTGTTTGTTCGGCCGCTCTTTACGACCATCTCGTTTTATTCGTTTCGTCGTCTGCTGCAGAGGGACGCGGAAAATAATATCTGAAATAAAAAGACGCCGCTCCGACAAATATCGTTAATTTCCTCTCTCCTTCTCCGAGGTGTTGGCAGCTTGAAAAATTAATTAGGGGTTGCTTGTTTTTTATTATTTGCGTGGCGCACACATGTCGGCGCGCCGAATTAGAAATTCAAAGCAGGTAATTTAATTTGAATATCCCGGCCGTCAATAAAACAAATACATTTGACCGACGAGGCTGTAGGGCTTAATTAGGAGGCAGCGACACTTTCTTGTTCCAAAATCTGCCCAACAATCTATAAAAAGTACCAAAACTAAATGCTGAAATAAAAACGAAAACGTGATAGCTCTTGTTTTTGTATGTTTTTCCTTCGGCCATATCATCGCGGAGAACAAAGTTATATAACTTCTTGGTTTGCTGCAAAACTTTCTTCGGTCCGCGCGCTTTTGTGCTTTAGGGAGTAAAAAGTTGGAACAAGTGTGTATGGGAGATGTAAATAAGCATAGCGCGGTTAGATTAAAAAGCGGGGCTGCTGCAGTAGTGTAACAAAACATAAGGAAGATGAAAACGCCTGCTTTTTTCCATGTAAAGAGCCGGGAGGTGCAGCAGCAGCGCTTCGGGGTGCTTGGCTTACAGATTACCGCACAGAAGTTGGGAAGAGCGAGCGCTGCTGCCGGTGTGTGGTATATTAATGAAGCTGCGGACTGGTGAAATACGCCGCCGCCGCCGATGAAAAATGCACCGCGCTCTTTAAGCAAAACTTTTTCACCCTCTACCCGTTAAAATGACTGCCATATATAGAGGTGCTTCCCGAGCCTCTCAACCAACAGGAATGCTCATCAGCTAGTTGCAAAACTTTCAAATAATTAAAATTTAATATAAGAAATGTAAGAAAATATACTTTTCATAATTTTTTTCTGTATTTGCGTCAATGCAAACTATGAACTAACTTGTAGTGTTGCCTTATTCCACCATTTTTTTTTTTTTAATTTTCAAACAAATTTTCCAAAATTGAATTAATTTATGAAATTTAAACTAACATTTGGACTAATAAACAACAATCATCAACAGAAATTTATTAGGCACAGTTAATAAGAGCCTGTGTGTGCCACAATACTAAGTTAAACAAAAACAGGTAAATATAAAAATAATAAAAATATCATTATGTTTTAATAATATTGTAAAACATACTGCAGTTTGACCTATAATTAAAAAGTAAATTGATTTTTGATAATATATTAAATAATTTTTGTTCATGAAAAATATTTAAGCTGATTTTTTCTAAATATAACAATCAAGGAAGTTTAAATATTTAAATTTTTTCACCAAAAGATATAAATAAAACAGAATGAAAGCAAATATTATCCACTCTGAATTTTAGTAGCTACCAGATCAAATGTCTCATTTTTCTCGTTCTATATTTGTTCAATGAATATTTAAAAAAAAAAATGATGTCTGAATTTTTATTAAAATATTCTACAAATTGATTTTAAAATTAACCTCCTGCGATGATTTTTTGTTATGCAACCCCGCTGTTCATTTTCGTTGTGCAGGTTGCCTAAGCAATGTGGGTTGTATGCACATGGTGGTGTTGATTTCGGCGTTCAACGCTTCGCAAACTTTCCTTAGCGCTGCGGCGTTTCCAAAGTTATGCAAAGTTGCCGTACGAATATTTTTAAAGTGCGCATTGAAGTAAGTGAGATGGGATGGGGATTTTTCTTTCCGACGGGGGTTGAAATTGGCCGGTCGTGTGTTGATTTGTCGCTGGTAATGAGTTGCTGTAATAATATGGTGTGCTATGGCAAGTGTGCTCAACATTGCACTGTCGTCCTTGGGGGGCTGTAAAGACGGCTCAAGTTTAGATTAAAAAAGCAGCTGTGAATATTTTCCTTCTTTTCCTTCTGCTTTGTCCCCGAGAAATGCGCGCCGCTCTCGCCTGCATAAATATAAACACAAAGTTATAATGGAACACTACGCAGGACGGGAGAAAGAGAGAGAAAAGTGGAGAGAGTAGAAAATGTTTGGGATTTGGCGAACAACATTTCCATTATTCTCGCTCGCTCGCTCGCAGCAAGCTGCTGTTTTATAATTCAATAAAATCACGCTGGGTGACAAAGCAGCATTGTGTCTCGTTGCCATCTCTCGAGTCGTCGCCTCTTATATTCTCGCTCTCTCTCTTCATAATAATTCTGACGAGTGCCGCTGAAGAGAAGAAGAAGAAGAAGAGCTTTTGAGTGGAGGCGACATCGCGCCTCCCCGGAGACGACGCAACTTTCTTCTCAAGCACACTCCGTTGATAATTAATATTAATTGCCTTTTCTTTTCACACCAGCTAGCGGAATGAAATTTAATCTGCTTTTGAAAATTTCCCAACAACTTTTCCGTGCCACTTGGCGAGGGAGAGCCCCTTGTTCCTAAGATTTGCTAAAATCTCGTTTACTCTCCCAAGAACAGCACAGGGGGCGTGCAGTGTACGATGGCGCCCTCAACTTTCCTCAGCCCTTGGGAGCATCATCCCGACCTCTAATTTTGCATCCCATCTTATTCTGAACAAGATTGATCACCACTCGAAATACAATTAAAATGCTCGAGGGTTCTTCACTTCTGTTGCTAAGCCTCACGAAAATTGGATTTTTTACGGAAAATGAAGGAGGATTTGCACAGGCATATTTTTTACGTTGCAGCCTCTTTTTTTGAATTCCATTTTTTTAATCATCTAATTTTTATTATTAATTGATAATTAGATCCTAAAGCTTATGGTGTCATTCAAATTTGAGAGTTTAAAAGACTAAAAGTTATCAATCTTTTTTCAACTTAAGGACTTCAGTAAAATATTATGTAAAGGGGCTTATATTTCTCAATCTTTCATTCTTAAAAAAAAACTTTATTCAACTTCTTAAATATTTTATTTTCATTCAATTTTAAGTGATACTATGCCTTGCGTAAACTAAAAAGTTTCAACGTCACGGTTGATAGATCAAAAAGCGTCAGATTTCGGCAACATTCTCCGTTTGTCTTGTCAGCACCCGAAAATAAAACAGCTCGAGAAAAATTAGGCGGCCAATTAAACACTGCTGTTAGGGCTGTTGGGGAGCGCCGTTCTCTCTCTCAAACTCTTGCTGTGTCGAGAATGTTTACAAGAAGCATCTCGGAAGAAACGCAGCAGAAAATAAAACGGCGTGTTAGAAATTGTTTGACACGTCTCTCTGCTCGCACTACGCCGCGCGCGGCAGGAAGGAAAAAAGCTCGGCGCGCACCGAGGTGTCAGTCAGTCGAACGGAGGCGCGCTTGTCACTCGGCCAAAACCTTGGCGACTGACTCGGATAACTGACAAATGATGTTACTTAAAACTCTCTAAATCCAGCCGCGCGACAGGGAAAAATTAACATTTTAAAGTGTCATTGTGGATTAGGCTTTAAAAATACAACACTCTCGCGCGCCCGCTGCCAAACCATGCAGCTCTAGCTCGGTAGCCGGATTAATTCATCCGCGCATCGAGAAGTGCTGTTACATCTTATTTATGAGTTTGGTCTTTTTTCGAATTAAGCCGGCGGGGTGTCCCATTTCACCGCTTTGGAAACATAATTTTTACTCGAAAATCCCTCTAAAATAATATTTCATGCTTGCCATACAAATCGAGGTAAGCGCCGAGGGATTATTTTGATACTTTTATTTTTAACCTTAATTGAAATCTTAGGACTGTATAATTAATCGACACCGACTTTCACGCAGGAATTCCTTGGTTGTGGAAACCGGAGATTGGGAAAAATGCTCAGTCCGCAAACGTACCGTCGGAATTTCTAAGCGAGAAGGGTGAAAAATGTCCTGGAAATCGATATTTGCGGCGGGTGCAGCGCGAATGACAGCGCTCGCAGATTATGTTTATGGGTGTAAATAATGCGTTCGAGCGTCGCGTGCATTGTTTTAATTCGCGTTGAATTTATGGGGCCACTGACAATCGCATGCACACCAAATGAAACACGTACTTTGCCATCAGTTGAACACGACCGGCCACTTGGCGCTGTCACTATAGACGCGACATAAATCCACACAGCTCGATGTTTGACCCGAAATTATTGCCTGCTGGACACACCAATTGAATTAACACTTTTAATCAACCAAATTTAATAAAAGATTTTATACAGGCCCTTTACTATAGGGCTTAATTTGTAAAAGTAAAATAAAAAAAAAATAGGAAGTTGTTGTTTTCTTTGTATTTCAACAATATCTCTAGGATTTATACATAATTTATCCCACAACTATTCATTGCGTTTAATAAATATTCAATTATTATTCCCGTGCATTTGTTTTAAGTTATCATTATTATAAAATACATATACTTTCTATATATAATAATAATTAAAATAAAATGCCCTACGATTAATATTTGTGGCAACAAGTTAATATTTAATATTACACTTCCAGTATAACAGTCAAGGGACTATGAAGTATTCAATAATATTTTAATTCATCTTTGATGCAAAATATTATTTAATTTTAAAATAATTCAAATTTAATATTAATGCTATTTAGTTAAAACTTCAAATTTAAATAATAGAAATAAAAAAATATATGAATAGAATGATAAAAAAGCATAGCATATTAAATATTCTTTTTAAATAATTATAATTTAATTAATTGCAATATTTATTACTATAATTTACTTTGCTATGTATGTAAGTGTTATTTTATATTTAGAATACTTATTATGCCCCTCATTGCTTCTGGTACCAAAATTTTTATGCAAAATTTTTTCATAATTTTAACCAAACTATTATCAGTAAAAGAATAATAATTTAAGGCACTTTTTTATCTTTATCGTTAAATATTCATAAACGTATTTATTAAATAAGGGTGATATTAACTTTTGATTTTTAGATTTTTTATTTTTTAGCAATGGAAAGAGCACCGGTGTGATGCTGGTTGGTCTGCTGGGGACCACCTGTTCTGTTTGGTGTAGCCAGGACGCACGGAGGTCTCGGCCATCCGTCATCGGCGCCGCTCCAGAGTGGCCTCGCGTGACGTCCGTTCGTCCGTCCGTGCGTGTCCGAGGACCGGCCGCTCTCAACCGGTCGATGGCCACGCCTCAAGCACGTGTTTCAGGTCGAAAAAGGACCTCCTTGAGGCGTGGTCTGCACCTGACACGAATGCTTATGTGCAACACCAATATGGCCGCCCATTACATGACCCCTTGCGTGATCCGCGCCCGGCATGCCATGCACGACACCTCCCCGCGACAACTCTATTTTCGCGCCGAGCCACTTTTCGCAACTCGCGTTTGTTTTGATATGATTTTGTCTGTGCGAACAAGAAATTAGTTGCGTTGTTTATCTCTGATTGACACGGCAGTAATTTTGCAATAATGGTATAAAATCAAGGCAGCCTTCAATTGAATTAATTTTCTGTTGTGGAGTAAAGTGTTTTTCAATTTTTGCGCGAGTACTTTTTCTTGTATCTGCTGTGAAGTGTGTAATTATATCTGCGAGCAACCGACTTGCTAATTATCCTTTCTAAAGTGTGAGATATTCTCGCTTTGAATCGTGCACAATTATGCAATTTTACGGTCTGCCAGCCCAGCAAGTGCTGCTTGTTAGTCAGATGCTTTCAGCAGATTATTAGACACTGACTTGTTTCCTCTTTTTAACAAATAACTTAAAAATACGTAAATAATAATACAATATTAAGAAGAGGCAAAATTCAGTCTCTTCCAAAAAATTATTATGAATTAAAATTCCATATTTCAAACCAAATCAGGTCTGATTAAAGCGCTCTTTTGTTTTTCATTATGCTCTCCTTAACCGGCGCTGTCCATTTTTTGTCTGAATTTGCACATGGCCGCCTTAAGGTCTCCATCCTTGATTTGCATTCGCTGATCGTGTGCTGCATGGGAATGAAAACCGCGTCGAAGCAGCAAACTCAGTGCTTTCCGACTCGAAGGTTTCTCAAAGGTTGCGCGTCTCGTTCGTGTATTATGTTTCAGCCGGTGCTGCCCCCTTGTCCTCAAGGCCCAAGTGGTCAGGCAACTTCTTGTTTGTTTTTCAGTCACACTCGGTGAGGTGCGCGCACCGATATTATTATACATCTGCTCCCCTTGAGAAAGTTCAATGTGCATAATTATATTAATAATATATTTTTATCAAAATTTTTATATGAACAAAATTAAAATATTCTTAGTTGCTTAAGATAATTGAATGAATAGTTTGTGGAATGATGATAATCAAAACATATTTACACATTTGTTTGAGATATAGTATTTTTTTATTATTATAAACTAAATTTTTATTTTTCAAATAGTTGCTAGTGTGCGTGAGTTTTTTATTATATAGTGTAGAGTAGTTTTGAATAATTTATTGAGCATAAATATTTATTCTATTTCATTATAATCTTTCACATGTTCAAAAGTAAAACCAATAATTCTCAATTATAAATTAAATATCATCCCAACACTGATCAGCATTCAACAACATCAATATTTACAGATTGTCCTTCGATAAAATGTACGCGATTGATAAATTAAATTATAATATTGAGTTATATTTAATAATAATTTCCATGGAATTTTCCTGTTAGAGTTTGTCTGCTGCATTTGTATCACACAGCTCATCAAACTAAAGATTTTAAATTTGCATATAAAATAAATATGTTAATCCAATTAACTATTAAAAAACTTTGAAAACAAAAAGTCTCTCTTGTTATATACGGTAATGCTAATCTTCATTCAATGCGTTTATTTTTTTAATGGTTTGGAGGCTCTTTTTGTCGTGAGTGCGACTTTGCTGGCATGTCAGATTTCATTAGTTGGGCTGCTATAGGGCAGAGGCCGAAGTTCTTATTGCAAGGGCTCGTCCCGTCTCTGTATACTGACGACGACGAAGAGCAGCAGATAGTCAAAGACAATGGAAAATAGCGCCGACACGACACGGTGTCGTTCTCCTTACGCGGCTCAGCCCTTTTATTTCAAATTAAATTCCAACACTGGTGTAAGCGCTGCTCTCTTATTTTGCATTGCGAAGGCACAAGAGAGCACGGAATGGGAATATAAGAGAGCCGGCGAAATTGCTCGCTCTGGCCGTCATCAAGCGCAGGGGCGCGCAATAAAATCCAGCTCGCCATTCCACCCGTGTTCGACATCGCAGCAGCAACTTCTCCACAACTTCTCTGTCGTCATTCTAGAAATAAAATTAAAACCTTTACTGCGCGGACTGAGATTTAAATAATATTCAATTGCTTCTTCAATTTGAAAATAAAAAAAAAGATAAAGGAAAATAAGAATAACATAAAATTTTAGCATTTACATAAGACCGAAGAGATTCGAAATTTTCTTTCTATGTAGATTTCTATTTGATCAAGTTTATTATAAATACAGGTAATGAAGTTAAAAAAGAAAATATTCTTTATGCATATTTGTAAATAAATTTAGCTGCCCCTTAAATTATTTAGCAATTACAAGTATACGGTTTAATAAAAACTAAAAGATGTCGTAGCATTACTAATGGGGTTCATTTTAATGAAAAGAAAAATTTCTGTTTTGTATTTCGTAGAATTCAGTTGATAGCATTATTTTGAGACTATTTTCAAATAATTCATTGACGAACTGTTGAATTAATTCTTCCATATAAATTTTGTCCTTATAGTAAGCCAATATTTTTTAAATAATAAATATTTCATAGAATAGTTCTGTTCTGTTTTCAAGAACTTTTGGAGCAGGCGGCAGATTTTTTCCATTTCTTATCTTGGTCGTTTTGCTCTCCTTTTCTCTCTCCCCATAGCTGCCTGCTCTCCTCGGCGGGCGTATTATTAGGCAAATAAGCCCTTACATGCGAATGACTTCATTTTGAACTTATGAAACTCCTTCAACATGATGTAGGCAAATGTCCCCGAAGCTGCTGCTGTATTATATTTAGCCGCTCTCTCTTTAATACGCCGGGTATACATAAGCGTCGTGTATAATGAAACTCACTCAGCACACACACATACAGCGCGCAGAGAGCTAAAAAGTTATTGTCGCCCGAAGTAACACCAGCCATTACTTGCATCTTTTCTTGTATACAACGGCAGTAAAAATTTTCATAACTCCCTTTATTAAAAAATATGAACAGCAGCGACGACGACGAGAGACTCTGCGCTGCTCTCCCATGAGCAGCACGACGACAACGTTGGCCCTTTTTATATTATTGCACACCAGCTGAGCAGCCTTTTGAGGATATTGCTGCCAAAATGGGTCCTGCCAATTTCAAGCCTCTCCATACAGCTTAAAAAATGCCCAGACAAAAATCTGTTGCTGTCCTATCTTTGAAAAATATATAAGCATTTTATTCAAAAATTTAGTAAAACATTTTAAATATTGAAGTAAATATTTATTTTCTCCTGAATTTACTTTATAATATGAAAAATTTTTAGATTCCTCTATAATAAAAATAGCTATTAACATCATCATCAAAACATAATCAACCATTATAAATCACAATGTTATGTAGAATCCGAATACAAGAAGAAGAGCTCGTGGAAGCGATTGTGACAAGATTTCTATCATCCTTGCCTCAAATTTATTTTGAAACAAAAGTTCATTTTAATAAGAAAAGAATTAAAAAAACGACTTAGCCTTGTATTATGAAAACAAATTCATAAAAAATAAAGCTTTTAAAGAAATAAAATTTATAAATAAATTAAATATGACATTTCTGTTAAAACGATATCAAAAATAAAGTTTAAAATAATATATTATATAAATTTAAAAAAAAAGTTTAAGAAAAATTGTTTTATCCTAAAATTTCTTTCAAATTTCTAGTTTTATCAATTTATTTAAGAAAAAAATAGCAGATTTTCTTTCTCTAAGTTTTTTTGAGATATTTTATTTGTGCAGGATAAGTGCAGTTTTCGTATCTTGGTTCGTGTTGGTTAACCATTGGGACGGTGTGAGTGGTTTCTGATTGAAAATGTATGCAGACGTGGGAAATCTTAGAAATTGTCTGATCGCGTGCACGGCGTTGTAATGTCGCTTGTCACTTGGCGCGCAAAACAAAAACCCATACAAAATGCATTATTTCGTATATTATGCTCCCTTCTCGTATGAACACTGCTCTTTTTTCTGCAATTGTACTTTGCAATTGCGACACCAGTACACAACAAATACCTGCCGGAAGCCCTGCAAAGTTGGTTAAAATCCGTTCGGACGCCCTCTCTCAACTTAGGCGAACCTAATTCGCTCCATACCGTTTTTCTCGTTTTATCCCGCACAGCTCGTAAATGAGCCACGTCGAATTTTCCGCCGACAAATAAAATTATTACGATGTGGCCCGTTTTTTCAAGTCCTCTCTCTCCTATATCTCTCTTTTTCGAATGCAAAAGGCCTCGACGGCGAATATTAAAATTCGCGCGCGCTCTCTCATAAAAATGTTTTATACATCGAAACACGACGCGAGATGCAGGTTATTAAATATTTATACGGCGAAATATAGGGGGTAATTCAAGTTTCTTTGCACTTTTTGGCCGTAAAGCAAGCGTGTTATATATGGGCAACACCATACACGCCGTAATGACGACGACCCAGCTGCTGATGCAATTCATCCCTCACTCGAATATAATATCATGTGAAAATGTAGCAACGTTAACAGAATGTAATTCACTCATATGCATGCGCTTTTTATGTGCAATATGTGGAACAGAAGCTGCAGTAGTTTTTCACTTTATGCATTATGTGTTAGCTTTAAGGATATAGAGTTATGCGGCAAAAAAATATAATAATAACAGTAATATGCAAAAATTAACGAAATCTTAATTTCAAAAACTTTGTGAATAACATAATGTGATTCAAAACTTAGATGTAGAAAGTTTCTATTAATATACTTATTATTATTATTTTTTTATTACATTTTGTTTTAGATCACTAACACAACCTAAAATCCTGCTATTTAAAAAAAGGGATTTGTAATTTTTAATAATTTACTTACACTTTTTAATATTAATAACTTTTATAAAGTTTGATTTGTAAGTTATTTTCGATTGTTTAATATAGATTTTTCTTCTACTTTCAAAATTAATTGTCTTCATACAATTACCAACAGAACGCTGTATATAGTATCACTAGGACGTAATGTAATTATTAAAATATTATTTCTGCATATTAGAAGTTCTTCCTTGCAAATCGTAAATCCCATCTGTTTCTTACATCACATTGATAACTGTTTTACATATTATTACGATTTTTATGATTGATAATGATATAACGAATTTTTGGTATACAATAATTATGAATATGTTTGAAGATTTTATTTATCTGGTTGACCATTCGTTAAGAAAAAAATGATATGCTAATTATATAGCGAAAAGAGGAAAATAAAAATTATGATCGATTTATCTATGGACAGTGATTTCCCCTTCGATATTATGTAATAAATTTGACACTGTGATTTTAAAATATACATAAAAAATAGTAAACCTATAAACTTCATTTGCAACTAACAAAAAAAAAAATACTATGCTGGACTTATTTTGCATCCTTTACAATCATTTTAATTTTTTGCTCACTATGGACCTCCAACGACACGTATAAAAGACATTACAAGTTGAAAAGCTCCTGGAATTTCAAGCCTGAGCCTGAATTGGCGATGCGTCAGTCTTTTCTTTCCATCTCTGGGACTGGAAAAGGAAGACAATATTCGTGGGTATTTGCTGAGTCAAAACGAGTATTCGTGTACCAATAAAAGCAGACGAAAAATGTTTACTCAACAAGGCAACGTGCAGGCCATTGTCGCAGCTTCTTAGAATACAAAGGCGATTTTGAC